GAGGCCCTGTGGTGAGAGCTGTGACAAACAAACCTGCTGCAGCATCAGGGAGCTCACCCTGCTGCTTTCTGGGGAGCACCTGGTTCCTCCAGGGAGGGCTTTGGGCAGGAGGGTCCCACAACCAAGTCCTGTGCACTGAGAGAGCTCCAAAGCACAGCTCCAGCCTGCAAAGGGGAGCACACCATGGCTTGAGGCTGATGCTGAGGGTGCTGCCCACACCCAGAGCTGCTCAGATAGGGCTGGCTGAGGGACCCAGAGCTGCTCTGGAAAGGGCTGATGCTGAGGGTGCTGCGCAGACCCAGAGCTGCTCTGGATGGGGCTGGGGCTGAGGCTGAGGATGCTGCTGAGACCCAGAGCTGCTCAGATGGGGATGGTGATCCTGCTCAGCCCCAGCATCTGCCCAAAGTGCTCAGCAGCTGTAAAAATCCGCTGCAGTTTAGGACCAAGAAAGGGATGGAGGGGCTGTCAGTGCAGGCAGGCAGCTTTAAACCTCAGCCTACATGTCTTTACACAGGGACATGCATTAAAAAAATGCGAGGCATTTGAAGCCCACCATTTTAATTAAACTGATTTAACATCCGAGCTCGTGAGGGGCGCGGGGCTGGCAAGCACAAAGGAGCTGCACAATCACTTTGGCTCCATTGTTGACGGGCTTTTGCTCTCTGTTTGTACAATAACCTATTGAACTTTTCCAGACTGTAATTCAATACAGAATAGATCCTTGCAGGAGGCTTTTTTGGCAGGGAGCACTGAAGGCCTTGAATCAATTTCACTTTTCCAGCGTGGTTGTTTAATGTATTGATACCAGCTGGAAAAAAAAAAAAAAAGAAAAAAAAAAAAGGAAAAATAAAAAGGAATCAATGTTACTTTTATTTGTCCTGAGCTGAAGCCTTTTGGTTCTGTTCTTTGTGACACTGATACCATGCAGCGTGTGGCTATTGTCCCACCTTCGCCAGGAAAAGCAAAGGCTGTTAACGCGAAACAAGGCGGGTTTTTTTGTCCGTAATACTTCCCGCTTTTGCAAAGGCTTAAAAGGTTTTGTAGGAAGAGAAACGTCCAGCAATCCACTGCTGCATGGCTTAGCTAGTTGTTCTAGAGATGCTGAGCTGCTGGGACTCTGGGTGAGTGCCCAAGGCAGCGCCCAGGTGAGGCAGCCCCCATTGCTCAGGTGAACATGTGGAGCTGAGCAGGGAGCCAGGCAGGGCTCTGCCTGCTCCTCTTTGGAGACCTGTGTTAAAAACAGCCCAGGGACCTCCTGCCATGCTCTGGCAGCTCCCCTGGGTCAGCCCTGTGAGGGGCACCTTCATCCTGTGCATCCTGAGCAGCATCACAGGAGTGTCTGTGCTGCCTTGGAGCGAGTGCCAGAGGAGAGGAAGCATCAGCACGGCTCTGGCTGGGCTGGCAGCGCGGTGCAGCCCATCACCACCCTTGCAGACAGCAGGATGAGGGGTGGGCAGGAGCTGGGGGATGCCCACAGTTCGGGTTGCGCAGCAGCAGGAGCACACAGGCTCCGGAGCAGGGGAGACGCAGCGCTCCAGAAGCACTCCCAAAAGACAGGGCTGTTAATTGTTACTTAAGCAATGAAGCTGTTTCAGATTGCCTGGGGTGAAACAGCGGCGGTGGAAGGTGTCTCACTGCCAGAGTGAGAAGTGGTGTTGTTGGGGCTCCTCTTTACTGGGAAACTTTTGCTGGGAGTGTGACAGAAAGCTGTGGGCTGCCCCAGGGTGTGACCTGCAGGAACCTGGCAGAGAAAACAGAGAATCCTGCCCAAAGTGAGCATGCAGAGGGAAAACAAATCCCTCTTGGGTTGAGCCAATTTTCCAGGTAAAACTGAGCAGGACTGGAATGGGTCAGATCTCCCAGAATTACCAGGCATCCCTGTTAAGCCACTGTGCCTTTTCCAGCCCCAGAAGAGGAACCTTTCCCTGCCTTGCTCCCTTCTCACACTTCCTGCGAGGCTCTGGCCTCCATCCCGTGTGACACAGAAGATGACATGTGTGAACACACGTGTAGAGAGAGGGGATGTGCTTGGTGACCACTGCCAGTTTTCCTGGGAAAAGGAAAGGCTCGGTTTCACAAACCCTTGGTGATGCTAACACACAAATACCACTGATTTACACTCTCAGTGTGTTTTTCTGTTAGGATTTACCCCAAATGAAGACAAGACTGATACTGCAGCAGTTAAATGTGGGAAACAGGAGGAGTGTTTTGAGCAGAGTTTCACTTAGTGATGATCTGCCCTTAAGAGTTAGTCTTGGGTTTAGAAGGCAGATGCTGGAGGGCAGCTTTGTGCCTTGCAAGTTATTGAGGTAGAGAGGGCAAAACACATCCCTAAAATAAATCTGTGTGCATGGCAAGGTGTCTCTTCCTCCCCCTGATCAGAAATTCAAGCTGTCTGATATTACTGTAGCGAGTCCTGATGAACAGGACTGGGAAACACAGTCACTGCTTATAATGAGGTGCTGCAGTGTAAACCCAATCTTCATTTAGAGCAGTTTCTGAAAGACAAAGAGAAATCCACCTGATGAGGTGCTGCTGAACCATGCAATGTACCTACAAATCAAAGCCCCACATCCCCAGACTTAGCTGGGAAGGGGAAATGAATGGCAGGGGGGCAGCTGAGCAGGTGGAGGCCGCCTTGCAGGAGCATCCCTGGGCAGGATGGGGCTGGGAGGATGAAACGTGAGGAGCCCCCCCAGCTCTCTGTGCCACGCACACGCCTGACCCTCAGCATCCCCTTGCTCCCCTTCCTCCCCCCTGCACTTATAAATCAGAGCAGAATTAATTCAGGCGCCGCGTTTTATTTGATAAACGTCAAAATATGTAAATACCGGGCTCTCTTCCTACAGTCGCTAAAACAAATGGAAAACACATTTATTAGCATAGAGATGAGTTTAATCAAATCAGCGGCGAGTACAAATTAGCCACAGGAAACGTAATGAGCTGGGAATTAATTAGCAGCATAATGGTAATAACTTTGCCTGCTGATTACCTTGCGGCCATGGCTCTCCCCCAGGGCTTTCCATGGGTTCTCCAACAGCTGATCTTTTCTGTAGCAGGAGCCCCTGAACTGGAACAGCATGGCCGGCAGCTCCTGTGCAACAGACTGGAGGAGGGGAGGGAGACCGGCTGAGGGAGGGAGGGAGGGGGAAGAAAAGCCATGTGAAGGATCTGCTGCCTTCACCTTGCCCAGCCCCGAGCCTGTTCCTTTGCCCCTGGCTGCCCTGCCAGGCTGTGGGGATGCCCTGGTGGGTGATGGGCTGGGTGGGATATCTGGGTCACCTTGCCCAGGCCAGTGTTCCCTCCTGGGCCAAGCACATGGCACATTTCAGAGCACCCCAGGTTTATTCCCGTGCATCCTGCTGCAGGGGGATGGTGATGCTGGGTCTGGCTTGTCCAAAAATAAATACCCAGGAGTTGCCTTGGGAAGGGCAGGAGCAGGCTGACCCCCGAGACTCAGCTGGCTGTTTGGAGGAGCTGATGTTGCATGAGAAAGGGACAATTGGTGCTCCAGGGGCTTTATAAAGTGCTGGGCTTGTAAATTAACTCTTTGACACCAACAGTGATGGAGAGCAGTGCGGGGCAGGGGATGCGTGGAAGGAAGGGGCAGTTTCTCTTGATTTATTTGTATTCCTTCTGCAATGCCTCTCCTCCTAACACCTGAGCAGTCCAAAATAACTTGCTCAGAGCCTTTCAGTGCTGGAGCTAAAAGCACTTCATAAGCCTTAATGAATCAAGCTGTGCAACAGCCCTGCAAGGAATTATTATTCCCAGTGGTGTGGGAGGATTAAGGGAAAAATGCTCCTGTTTGGGGGCCTCCATTTAAATTCTCCAGTCCATCCTCATGCACCTTCACACAGCAGCCTCCCAGGCAAGTGACTGAGTCAAAACTTGAGAAGTTTATAAAAATAAAGTTAAGTTAAAAAAAAAAAAAAGCCAGGCCATGCACTGAGGCACTTTAACGGGGATCTGTGGGGAATTAACTGAGCATCTAAGTCCAAAATGTAATGCAGAGTGATTTCTGGAAATTCTGTGGATGGTAGAAAATGGGAATCCTGCTTCCAGGTCACTGGTACCTGCAGTGTCTCTGTCTTGTCCTTAAGCAGAAAGAAGCTTCATATTCAGATCTGACCTTAGAAGCTGAGAGATCCAAGTAAAATCCATAATTGACCTCTGGGTGCAAAATTCAGCAAATAGGCATGCTAATCCCTGCTTGCACTCCCAAGATAAATTTTCCAAAGTCCTCTGTATTGCTTTTCCCAGACTTTTCTGGGAATAGGTATTCACCCTTGCCTTTAATTGCAATATTAGGTCATTGCTTTAACCAACATCTCCCTAACAAATTTGATCAAACCTGCCCATGCCAACAGTGCTGATGGCAATGCCTCACCTCAGCCAGCTGACTGGGAGAAGAATTTGACAGTTGTCCCCAGAAAATCTCACAGATCCCTCCAAAACCAAGTCAGAGGAGAGCCAATGAGTCCTGCTGCACTCTGGATCAGACCTGCTTTCATGCAGGAACTGAAACAAATATTTAAAAGTCCCAGGATAGGGCAATAAACTGAAATTCAGTCTCCATGGGATGTTTGGTGATGTGTGAACTTTTGTGGGACCGTTTGTTTCTTCTGGAGAAGCAGAGACAGAACTTCAACAGAGGGACTCTTTAGAGCCCCATCTGCAGAGGTGCATGGAGAAGGGATGTTTGCACAGATACTTCCAGCATTTTTTCAGAACCCCTCCTTTCATTAGCCAGTGCTGACTGCCCTGCCAGAGGCTGGGCTCAGCCTTCCTGCTGCTTGCTGGGTTTGTACCCAAAGCTGAGGGGTCTCCAAGCCTGATGGGCACTGTGCAAGAGCTGCCACCCACTCTCAAAGGCCATCCCTGGGATGCTCCTCTCTGGAGATCCCACCCTGCACAGTCAGGGCAACGTGGGCCTGACCTCAGATGAAAGTTGTATGACTTCAGTTAAAGATGCTTCATTTTTTACTCCTTTTATTGCCTCTGATCTTCCTTTTTTTCCAAGAGAGCTTGTGTAAGTTGACACAATAGATTAAACCACGAGTAGCAGTTGAAGAATCCTGTGTTTTATTATCAGGGATAAATAATATCTCCCCCAGAGGAAAATGGGAGAACACAAGGTCACCCAGCATGCCCAGAGAGGAGCCTGAATAGAATCTGTAAGTTGCTCCAGCCTCCTGTGTAGCCTGAGCTTCGTTCTGAAGGCAGAGGGGTTTATTCTTCAAAGCACCACTTTCCTTTGCTACCTGCAGACAAATAGGTTGCTCTAAGATGCGTTCCACGAGCTGATTTTTGATTCATGAAAGCTTGAACCAACACTGATCATAAGAGAATCGACAGTGATCATAAAATATGAAAGGTTTTTAAGAAGGACTCTACATCATACTGAGGTCTGCAGCAGGATTTCTGCTTCAGAGCCAGAGGGACAAAATGCATCCTTGGTTTATTGATGAAAATGTGGAAGTGAAAGCAGTGAAAGCAGAATTTTGCCCCTGTATATTCAAGGCTACCTAATGCCACAGAAGCTTTTAGGAAATCTACCACTTTAAGCATAAACACAAAACAATTTTGTTCTCATGCAATTTTCTTGCCAATGCTTTTTCTTAAAAATCTGTACGGCTGTCATATAAAATATGCCTGGGTTTGTTCTAATTTAGATTACGCATATTTGTCCTCAGTGAGTGATTGATTAAGTGCTCTGATCTTGACTGCTATGTTAGCAGCAGGTTATCTGTGCAAGAGGATTGGGAAGCTCATTGGATAAATGGTAGAGATGAAATCTTAGCTGTTACAGATCTGGGTTTCTCGTTCACAGCCAAGGCAAATGCTGTCTTCTGTGCAATAACAAACATGCTTCGTAATGTGTTCCAGGACAGAGCTGAGCCTGACTTTGTTTCCTCGTGGAGGGGCTTTAAGCTGTCACAATAGCGTGGCACCAAACTCTTGGTGTCACAGCTCTCCCTGCAAGGAGGGTATCTCCGAGTTCACTGGATCAGTTGTGATTTACGCTGATGTAACTCAAAACAAAATGTGTCTCGCTGACATCTGCGGAGCTGCTCAGATAAAACCAGCACATGAGCAGAATCAGGGAAAAAAAAGAAGATCCCTCTGTGCAACTGAGCTCATTCGAAGCAGCAAGCATGGCTTAGCAGGGCTGACCAAAATGGAAAACCTCCTTCAGGGGTTGCTTACCCTGTCAATCTCACTTTACCATCACTGACCCTGAGCTGGGAGCAAATGCAATCCTACCCACAGGAGCAGGGAGATATTTTCTTGCTTTTTTTGCATAATCTTAGGTGCTGTACTTCTTACAGGAAATTATGTCAATTTATGATTTATCATATTTTCATTTGTTTGTGTTTATGAGCGAGAATGGACACAACTAAAGTACCTGTAAACACCAACTCGAATAAATAAATCAGTTTTTTTTTTCTTTTGTGCATCTTCATTCCTACACTGGTCTCTTGCATTGTCTTTGCAACATCATAGCACTAAGAAGGTGTGGTAACAAAACAGGCAATTATGAAAAGAAAGGATTTTTTTTCTCTCCTTTTCTCTTTCTGATTCATTTCTCTGACCTTCTTGGAGGTATAGAGAAAGCTTCCAAGACCATCAGAATAAATAGGTTGTTTACTTGTTGTGATGTTTTCAGCCTTGGGAAAAAAAAAGAAGATAAAGAATAGAGCAAAGAAAATCCTTATACTCACTGTCTTCCAAAAGGAAACAGATGAGCTGAGAACTCTGGAGAAAATATTCCAAAATCTGAGCATGATGCTGTCACAGTAAAGCAGAATAAAACAGAAGAAAGCCAAGCAAAAAGGTGGTGACCCCAGGGGGACTCAGCACCCTCCTTCTGCTCATGGACTTTGGGGAAGAAACAGGGGCAGATTGCAGAAATACCAAAACAAGGGCATCCATCTTGGGCAAAAACCCCCTCTGTCCCAGCCTAATTTCCCATGATTAGGGTATCATGTTTGCCGTTGTCTGCAGTGATTTGCTCGCAGCCCCGCACAGGCAGGGGCAGCAGCTCAGGTGGCTCCTGGGCCAGCCCTTTGCGAGGCACACCATGGCCTGCAGCCACGGAGGGAAGCGCTAAGCTGTGTTAATGATGCCGTGTTATCATCAGGCTCTAATGCTGCCTGGGATGGATGTCACTGCTGTGTATGTTCCTGCAGATCAGTTGGTAATTACACTTGGATCCAAAGTAATTACGCTGAGACTTGCACTCCGGTTTAGAGACAGAAATAACCATGCACTTGCCTGGTCCCACACGTAGCACTTGTGATGTAATTTAATAGCCAGCTACTAACACGAGAGTAAAGAGGCATTTCTCTTATATTTATGCCCTTTTAAATTAAACATTGGTGGTTTTCCCTGTGAAAGGAGCGCTGTGCCACTGGTCTCCTTTTCCCACTCAAGCACCCTCCTCTTTTCCTGACAAAATGAAATAGGCTGAAGGAAAATAAATATTTATGAGCTCCTCCTGGGGTGTGATTGTTTTGATGCAGGTCTTGCTTTGGCTTTACTCTCTGCTCTATTTAAAATTTCGCCAGGGAAAAGCCGGCCCTCTGAAGGCTGGAAGAAGATGAGGCATTTGGACGAGTTCTGTGGTCTCTGGGTGGGGAGCAGAAGGACCAACCTCCCTTTTGGAGGTTTTCCAGGTCACATCTGCCAGTGTGTTTCCTCTTTAACCTCCCAACACTGAGCACCTGGGCAGCTGTAGCGCTGCATTAAGCACCTTTTTTTGATGAGGAGCTCAGAGGAGAGGGAGGCAGGGGGTGCCTGGAGCCCACCTGCAGAGAGAACCTTCCCTGTTTCCCAACCGTCCATCAGCAAAGCACACTGCCTTTTCCTCACGTAGAATCCTCCTGTGCATTTCCAAATAAGCCAAGGCTCTGCAAATATTCTCCCCCCCTTCAGGGTGAGGAGCTTACTTTGCTTGGGAAAAGAAAGAGTTTACTGTGATCTCTTTCTTTTGGCAACGTCTGGGTAATCATTGCTCATAATAATGCCATCCCAGATGTTGAAACATCTCCTCTATTAATTTTACCCAGAAGATAATTTCCCTTAGAAATCATGTGCAAATCCCCTGTTCTAATTTAAGAATTAATTCAGTACACTAAATCTTAGCACTTCATCCTAGAAATGTTTTGCAGTGTCTGTTAACCCTTTGCAACAACAGCAACCAGCCCAAATGTGGGATGTAGAGATGTAACTAAACCTGTCTCTCTTTTTGAGGCCAGTAGCCAATATTTTAAAGACTAGACCTCCAGAGCCTACCTGCTTGAATTACTTCCTTCTCCCCAGAGGATCACAAACATAAATTAATTTGCTGTTGCAAGTGAGGGTGGGCAAAACACCAGTGCTCCCAGACACCCCACTGCACCGGTGGACTGTGATCCCACCCACCATCATGTGAGTGGGAATTAAAATGGGATGAATCCATATTTAACAAGACATGGAGGAAAAAGAAGAGCTGAATGGTTTAGCTGAACCTGTATGAGAAATGTATGGGAGAGCTGGGAAGACACCACGCTCCTTCAGAGCTCTGGGTGAGGGTCAGTGGCACCTGGAGCCAGGGGTACCTGACCATCTCCCCCTTCCTGGGGGGGCTCAGGCACACAAAGGTTCACACCAGCACTGCTACACAAAAGTACTGCTGGTGGGAACTGCTTCATGCCTTTGCTGGGCTTTCTTCACTTAATTTACAATGGAAACTGTGTCAGACTCCAGACTGGGCATTTTCCTGCCCTTCCACATTGTGACAATCTTAAAGCGTCACAGCCTTTATACTGAAAGTCTTTGACTGCCATTGAAAGCAGCAAAGAAAATAAAGAGGCCAAATCTCTGAATTTCCCCCAACCTTGTGAGATCAGAGTGCAGTCCAGCACACCTTTTGTGGATCCAAAAAAAGATCTCCTGATTCCTAGCAGAACAAAATGACTTCATTCCATCCCAGTGATTATAGCCAGCTAACTGCTCCATGCAACCTGAGGTCACATTTGGGATTCCACTGGTTTTACTGGGGCTGGTTGTGTTTGCACTCTGCAGAGCAGTGGGCCAGCCAAGGACCTGCTCCAAAGAGGATTTATTTGGAATCAGCTTTTAAAATTATCATAAGGTGATAATAGGTGATTAGTGCTGGGATATTTCAGCACCTCCACCACCGCCTCCTAAACTCCCAGATGCTGAACTGAGATTGTGCAGCAGCTTGGCCTCAGAGGAGAGGAGTGATGCAATCCGCAAAAAGAATCCTTTCTCTTGCATTTCAATAAAATAGGAAATATTGCTGTGTCCTTCTGCTCCTTAATCAAAGGAGGCTGCATTTGTGGCACCCTGAATTTCAGCACGCTGACAACTGCAGGATGGATCTGCTGGCCCAGCAGCCCAAGCTCATGCAGTGGTTGTTATTCCTCCTGATGAATTCACTTGGGGATATGCTCCCTGAATGCAAAGCTCTCAGGTCAGGACAAATGGAAAATGCATTACATGGAGCGTGACATGCTGTGAGTCCCAGAAATGTGTTCAGATATGTCCATAGGCAGCGGGATAAAGCTGTTCCTTTATCTCACAGCTGCTGTTGGAATTTCCTTCTAGAAAACTGGTCTTGCATCAGCAATGGCTGTTTGCAGTGAAATATTGGAGTTTCTTGTATTCATTATGTATTGAAATGAAACAAGCTAAAATCATGGCTTTGTTGTAATTTTGATTAGTGAGGGACATGACAAAAAAGATAAAATATCAAATCTGAAGTATTTAGGAAGTCTTTCTATTAAAAAAACCAGAACTTGATGTGTTGTCCTGATGGGAAAGCTAGCTGCAGGTTTCCAACAAAAAAATTTCTGCAGCATCTCAGGATCTTGATCCCAAAAGGGAAGAGTTTGTGGTGTCTGAGGCCCTGATTTTGCCATGAAACATGTACTGGCTGGTTCTGTGGGAGCTTTCTTCTTTCTTCCGCAAGGGAGAGACAGAGTTTAGTGTTACTTAGTGAATTGTCACAAGACAAGACACAGCTATTCTCACCCAACCCACTGATCGCTCTAGAAGACTTTATATATAATTTGTTTTACTGTTCTCATTTGCTTTGCTGCTCTCATGAGCTACAGCATACGACAGTCTCATTCAAGGTGTTTCACACTCATCTTTGAAGGAGCAGAACTCTGTTTTGCAGACACCTTTTGCAGCTCAGATCAACATGCACAGTTGTGGTCCCACCAAGAGTTTTCCAAACGTGTAGGATGTGGGAAGCTAATGTGTGGATGAGTTTAAATAATCAAGGTTCAAGTGGCCAGAGGGTCACTGTTAGTTTGGGGGCCTGGGGCAGGTCCTGGTGTCTGCTGGAGGTGGGAGCAGAGGTCCTGTGCATCCTGTTGGCAGCAGGAAAGGAGGAAATAAATGCTCAGCAATAAATGATGCCCACTGTCAGGACTGATCATCCCTCTTGTGAACATTCAGGACCCAGCTCCCCAGCTCAGTGTTTGAGATGAGGACAGTGAACATCGGTACAAAGGAACATTTTCTTTTCCCTCCCTTCATTTCCCCTCCCATGGGGAAAAAAACTTGGGTTTAAAGTCTGCTCCTGTTTGATAATTTCCCTTAACTACCAGCTAAATAATACATGATCCCCAGTGCTGACTGATGACTCCCTCTCCTGACCCTGTTTTATTTTTATTGCTTGGCTCGGGCCAGTTCCTTCAAGTCCTGAATCATCAGAACAGAGACCTTGAGGTATTCCAGGCAAATCAATCCCTGGCCCATTGACATATTGCTTTAGCTAACCAACCATACAACTTCTCTTTTCCCTGATAATTTCTCAATTAATTGCTTTTCAGCTCTCATTCGTTACAAGGTCAGGCTGTGACTGGACTTGTACATTCCCATCTCTGATAAACTCTCCTGGTCCCCTAATCAGCCACGACTGGGATTTTAGTTCCATTAACTTATTCATCATCCAGACATTTTCATCTTGGGGAGCTTGACTTTTGATTGTATCAGGAGTATCTTCAATTATTTAAGAGGACTTAAAATTGCCTTCTTACCTAAAGGGAAAATGCATTTGGAGCCCTGAAAATTGATCATATTGGACCAGTGTCTTTTGGATGTTCATATGTGCAAGCCCATGTTAAAGGAAAAGCTCCTGCATGGCCAGAGCAGAAGAATTTGCTGCTGGTGAACATGTGTGTGCATGAGGCTGACTCTATTAAGATGTCAGCTATAGGGGAATGACAGTGTGCTGATGACTGGTGGCTTACTAATGCTAAATCACGCCTGAGATTGTGTTCCATGATGTCAAACATTGATTCAGTTTCCGTGGGAAGTTATGCAAATGCCAGAGCCCTTCAATGAGGTCTGAGACTGAAATTGCGAGCAAAAACACCTCTAATAATACAAGAAACTTCCCCTTTCCTGGCCAGAAATCTTTTTAGAAAATTTTGAAGGGAGCTGCTCCAGGAAGAGAGTGAATTTTGAACATGTCCCAAAAGGCAGAAGGGCTTGTAGGACCCTCCTTGTGGGAGCCAAATCCTTCTGTTCTGCTGCAACCTTCTGTGTGGGGCTGTGCTTCATCCTTGCAGCAGCTGGTCCAGTCCAAGGCAGCAACCCACTAGTGCTGCTTTCCACAGATTTATTCTTTTAACAGAAGCAGCAGGCCATGTTACACAACCCCTCTTCTCCATGCCCCTCTTCCCACAGTTTACATCCAGGCAAAGCTCTAAGAGTCTGCAAGCTTCTCCCAGGAACAAAACTGGTGGCAAACCCAGAGAAACCGGCATCAGCTGGGAAATGGTGGATTTCTGAACAAAATGATGGGACCAAGGAGTCTGGAATCCCGCCTTGCTCTTTGTCCCAGGCTCTGGGACTTTTTCCTTGACTGAAACCCACCTTCTCAGGATGATACTGGGGAACTGTTTCAGATTATCTGAGTGCTTCAGTCTCTGAAGAATATCCACAGAGAGAGGTCAAACTGTATTGACAGGTTCTTTAGGAAGAAAAGCTAGTTTAATATTGGCAAGACAAGACTGCTGCATATTTAGCAGGAGCCCCTTCTTCCAGGAAAAGTGCTCTGGTTTCAGTTCCCTTTCTGCTGAACATGGGTGGTAGCTTTTATCATCCATGATTTCATTGCAGGCCACAGAATGATGGATTTTTCTGGCAGAACCCTAAGCTCACACTTTTGAGTGCAAATTTTCATAATTCACTTAAAAAGAAAAGCCCACATTATCACTGAGAAGGGCTTAAAAAAAGACTAAGAGCACAGAAAATTGGAAAAAAAAACCCCTGCACCAAAAAGCAGTGCCTTGTGATGAAGGAAAGTGCAACAGCAGCAACAGCATGAACTGTGGGGTGTTGCTTTGCTTGTTTTTTCACCCCAAAATGCAATAACTCACCCATCCCACTGGAAAAAATGTGCCCTTTCTTGATGCATCAGCAAGGAGGGCCTTTCCATGGTCTGTGTCTCTTCCTGTCAATGATGTACCAGAAGGCACCAACACTTGGAGGACGTGAGGAAACGTACAGTTCTTTCCCCGCCTGTTGCTAGGATTCACAGCTCTACCCCACCACTTTCTGGGGCTTCAGCTCCTATTTTGGCTGTAGGAAAAAAGAAAGAAAACCTTGTTGCTTCCAGGCTTTCCGCATAAGGTTTGAGCAGCTCCAATGCCAACCCTTATAATATTGCTACAGTCAGACATAAAATCTTAATGCACAATAGTGCCTTGAATCTTACATTCTTCTGAAAAAGGTGAGTCCCCAGTAGTAAATGAAATATTAAACATTATTAAATATGAAACAGCTAAACCTGGATTCCATTAAAATGAATCTTTCATGGTTTTCCTGGTTTCTTTTTCCCATTCCCTTTTTTTTATTCCCCGGGGAGCGCAGTGATCTCGTGAGCTTTTATGTGTCCTTTTAAAGACAGAAAAATCACAGGTAATTTAAGTCTATTCTATTCAGATTTATTTTAGCTGGAAAACAAATCAAGGCAGTGAAACTCTTGCTTGGTAGTGTCTCTCTGACTGAACTATTCAGCAGTCAATATCAAAGGTTCACCTAAAGACACTCTTGTAATGCCTGCTGACATGTGCCACCTATTTAGAAATCTTGTACCCTGTTACACACTCTTCTTTCATTTAGAATGGCTTTAATCTTCCACCATACACGAAAAAAAAACCAAAAAAACACCTTGCTTATTACATAGGATGCATTTTGAGCTGGTCTTGCTGCTCCTGCAGATTTTCTTGGAGTTAAACTGTGTCTGAGGTGAGTGCCCACATGGGAGCTGGCAGCTGGGCATCAAAGGGAAAGTCTGAGAGAAAAACTTGGGGTTTTACAGAGCCTCCCTTAGACTGGCTGGTGAAACACACTTGACTGAGGGTATGACTGCACTGATAGCACAGGGCAGTCAGCAGGATAAGCCAGGACTAAATATTCTCACTGTATTTCATTATTGTGGTATTTGCACCCCAAAGTGAATAAATATATGGCAATCTGTGAACCTCTGGTGCTGGAACAAACCAAAAGTGTGTCCTTCTCATGACATGTATTTATGTCTTTGCCTTCAGATCCTAAGCTCTTTCTGTGATTAACTTCCGTATTTAGTCAGGACTGGTAAAAAATTTTAGAAGAAAATTGGAAAAAGAGCTCTTGGCCTTGCTGAGAGGCTCCCAGAGCTTGGATCTGTGCAAGAGCATTCCCTGGCTCTGGCTGGGAGACTGCTGAATCAGGCTGGGTCTGGTGGGAGGTTGCATCTCCAGCACACACCTTAATTCTTGACTTGCTGCTGCCAAACATGCATGAATTAATCTACAGACACATTTCAGGAGTGGAAGGCAATAAGTACTAAGGAAGACAAGTTAAAATGGCAAAGAAGGTAGAAAGCCATTAATTATTCATGACTACTGTTCCATTTTGTGCAAAAAGCCTTTCTGCCTCGCTTTCCATTTTGCTTTGCTTGGGTCACATCTGAGGCTCAGCAAAGGAGATTTAAATGGGCTCCCCACCTCAGGAGCTCGTGCTGATGGTTCCCTCACATCCAACTGGGTTTTGCATCTCTCCCTGCAGGAATTCAGCAAAGTGGGAAAATCCATGCTCTGCCCTGGTTCTGAGTGTGCTGTTTTCCAGATTTCCTAAAAAATTAAATAAAACAGTAAATTGTACAAGGTTATTTTATGTATTTAAACACCAATATTAGCTTTTTGCCGTGGTTCTACTTCAGCTGAGATGGCAAGAGCATCCCACCAGCGTGGCCTTCTGGCAGCCTGACCAGAAGCATACGCTCTTGGTCTGGTTTTGTGAGGCTTTTCATGCCTTTTTCTGGCCTGACACCCTTGCAATGGAATCCCAACCACATTATTTATTTATTTTAATGAACTGCCTTTGGCCAGCTCAGGCTTTCACCACAAAGATTCCAGACTGCCTCAGAGCACCAGGAAACATGCTGCACACTGCTATGAAGCTGAGACATGAACATGTCAAATAAGTGATCCACATGAGAGTAGATAGACGTGACATTTAGTGATCATCCTTCTTGGAAAAAATGGGGCATTGCTGTCACTTTAAGTAAATCTCAGTCAAATTTCTGCCATTTTACCATAGGGGAGGCAGGAGGCATAATAGTAAATTTCTCTTTAAAAAATATAAAAGATCAACCTTGGGAAAAAAATATGGTTGCCACAATTTAAGGTGTAATTCCTCATCCTAGCTCGGCCAGCCATTTCCTGGCTGCTGATATCAATATGTCACTCCTAATGTTTACTGATGTTCACTTTATAAATGACTTTTCCTCGCTGTCAGAGTATCTGTCACCGGCTTCTCTTCCCCCTCTTTGCCTCTCATACCCTTTAATAAAGATTAATATCTTTGAGGTTAAGTTAAAAGATCACATACCACGTAAATCACACCATAGGTCTGATATTTAAAAAAAGATGAACATGTAATTGCTGAGATTATGTGAGCAAATTGGGTAATTCCTGGCCTAAATGAACAGAGTTGGCTTTTGTGGGATCAGTTAATCTAAGTGCACATTCAAATAAAGTGTATTTTGTCCAGGCATTTGAGCTTCTCAAGGTTTCCCCATTGAAGAACTGCAGATGTTTGAAGCAAAAATTGGTGAGTTTAACTTCTATAGCTTCTCTGAAGTTTCAATATGTTTAAAAGACATGCAGAATGGGGATTCTATAAAAATGTGGCACACTGGCTTTCCATATTTATAGTCCACCAGCGACTTCTATATTAAACGGTTTCAGTCTATGAGTCCAAACAAGATTTTTCAACCTGTCACTCCTGCAGCTCAGCCTGGTACATGAAATGCTAAACATGTTCTGGCTGCTTTGTACATCTTCCTTGACAAACACCTGGACTAATGGCTCCAGAATGAATATTTAGCTGGCAATTTTATGGATGAAGCACAAACCAGTCATTTTGGCTTTGCAATGCTAAGAGGAGTGAGTGTGCATTTGGCTTTTAAACTGCAAGGTGCAGCTTGGGAGACACAGGGAAGCAGATGATGGACCCTTCATATAAACCATGATCCAAGGTTTGCCTGGCCAAGAACTGCAGGATCAGACCAAGACAGGGTCATATCTAGGTACCAAAACCTACAAGATCAGGTTAAAACAGCTTCTGTAGAGGTCAAACTTAGGCTTATTTTTCTGACCGCTGTCTTTGCTGTGCATCTAGGACAATCTTGTATTTGTAAAATCTTGTACCCACTCTTGTAAGAGTGGAAAATGCAGATGCCTGGTCCAGTTTAGACACTTTCCTGCAGACTTCCCAGCCAGGTTCCATGGGCCAGATCAACACTTCAAAAGGGACTTCAGCCCTTCTTCCTGATCTGTTTGAAGACGTATTGGATCTATTGATCTTCCCTTTTTGGCACTCCAGCTTTGGTGTTAGAGCCCTCTGCTACCCACAGCAGTAATTCTGTGTATCCTCAGATTTACAGCAGTTCTAGTGCAGCTGAGCCACTCAATTTGTGGTTTGTGCCTGTGACCCATTGGGAACTTGCACACAAAGGCTCTTCCCCTCTCTTCCAGGCCCAGGCACTGGAATTTCTCTGAAAGTGGAGACAGAGCACAGATCCAGGTCTTGTGCTACCTGAGATGTCCCAGACCCTCATCTTTCTGTGGGACAGCATCTCCTTCTCTGGGCTGTGGGTGTTGTGCATTTTGCATGGTTATGTGTGGTGGTGACCTGGCTCCTCTCCATCCTGCCTCTCCAAGAAGCATCCCTGGAAATGGAGAAATCTCTAAGGACATGCTGGAGCAGGAATGGAGCATGAAAAGAGTTGTGGCTTTGACAAAGACACTTCTTTAGGAGTGGAGCATTTTGGCTCTGTTTTGTGCTTTATCCAGAAGCAGTTTGACATAAATTGTTGGATTTAACCCCTAAACTCTGAGTAAAACCCTCCTCCAGGTGTCAAAGGCTACATCCCTGTCAGTGCCCAAACCACAGCCTCCTCTTTGAGAGGGTAAATTTTGCTGTGTTGTGAACTCCAGCTCAGGGATAACTGCAGCTCCTGAATCTGCAGGGAGGGGACAGTCTGAGGGGCAGATCTCATGCAAAGGGCACTGATGGTGTTCTTTAGTTTCACACAAAACCTTCCAACTATTGGCAAGCTACAAAAAAAAAAAAGAGTTGGTACCAAAAGCCAGTTCCTGAAGGGAGAATTGTGTGTGTTATTCCTTTCCAGTGCACCAACAAAACTATTGTGCTCAGAAGATGACTCTGAAACTGCCTTTTGTTGTATTTTGTATGAAGTAGGATTTTCTATCTGCAATAACCACTGGGTGATTTTATTTCTAGGAACTGGATTATTTCACAATAAAGGTAAAGAGTCTCCAATCATTTTAGCCTGTGAATAAAAAACACCTCTAACATTCCAAGAATATTATAATATATCTGAAAACCAACTTAGTTTTCACTCACATGATTGATATGTGCACTATTTTACTGCACAACACTGTTTTTCTTACACTGAATTGTTTCTTTCAACTATAGCTAACTTGATTCTCTGTGTAGCAGGATCTGAGGCCAGCAAACCATGAAGAAATTTTACACTGCAGACTGCAGCAAGCAGAGGTCTCTCTAGCGAAGGCATTATTTCACAAAATGATGGATGTGCATATTTATTTGCTCTGTGACTTCCATGTCAGGTTTGTCATATTTCCTCAAATTACTAGTTAAACCAAGGTTTTGAGTTTTGTTTTGTTTTTGTTTCTGCTGAAGCCTGCAGGCTCAATATACCTTATAAAAATCAAGTTGCAATTTATCTGCTCCATAGATCATGTGTAACAATAATCACTCTGGAGTCTGTGGCGGGTTTGGATGTCTGGCTTTGTTGGAAGAGATGTATGAAGTGAACAAAAAGCTTCCTGATTTTCATACTCTGCAATAAACCTGAAATATGGAGAGAAGTGAAACATGTATTTAAATTAAATCGAGGAATCATGACAAAGAAGGAGCACAGAGAAATGCATGCACACCCAGAAACATATTTTGCAATGACACAGGATTATTTCCCTTAGCAGATGGACCTCTTCAAGTTCTGCACACTCCATGTCACAGGCATTCAGCAGTCAAAGCAGTGAAACAATCTGCAAGCGGGACTTGGACTCACCAGAACAGTGAATTGTTAACTTGCATTTTGCAGGGAGAAAAATCTTTGCCCACAGAAAAAGTGGGGATCCCCAAAAGGGTTCATATTCACAAGCCCGGCCTGCAATATTTAAGTGCTACTTCACACTTAATTCACTGCTTGGTGTTACTGCTTGTTTCACATACATTTTGGAGAGGCCACAAGAAAATCTCAAAATCTTTTCCTAGGTGTTTGCAAAAATAATAGTAATAACAGACTAAAATTATTAGCTTATCAATCTAACCATGCACAAATGTAAAACTCACAGAAGATTATTGTAGCTTTAATCCTCTCCACTCCCACATGCACCTCTGGGAAAAACAGGGAACAATCTTAATACACTGAAATATTTTTTATTGCCCGGGGTGGGCATTTCCTCCCACAGCCAAAGTGCCTTTTGCAAGGCATTTCTCTCCTTGTTTTGTTTGTCACAACACGGGAAGGATACGTGATTTGTGTTGCAGGGGACACGCGTCCCTTGTCACCACCCAGGTTAATCAGCAGCCAGGCTCTGTCACCACCAGGGCCCCAAGGAAGCCAAGCCCTTGGAAAAGATTTCTGGTCCATTGGCTGTAGGAGCACAGAGCTGCAGAGAGGCCCTGGCATGAGGAAGAGATTGCAGTGTTAAGATTAATTAATTCTCTGTTGTGAACTTTGTCGGAGAACCGCAGCCATGCTCTGGTGGTGGAGTGGGGGTTCCTCCTCTGCTCCCCAGATGATGCCATGCCTGGGACTGGATGGATAAAACACATCCTGGGAGGCACTTCCAAAAGCCCAAGGTCTGTTTAGTCTGCAGCCTGAGTTACAGGGCAAATCTGAGTCTGCGTCCAGCTCCCCAAAGTCTCTCTTGTAATTTTATTTTTTTTTAATTAAAAAAAAAAAGCAAAAAAACCCTTAAATTTCGGTGGCAGTGTCATTAAGAGATCCAACAGAAGCCTGGAAGAACAGATTAGCACATACCAGAGTGACAGGGCTGCTGGGACAGGGAAAAAATAGACAACATCAGTGCAATGTACCATTAAAAGTATGGAGTGACAGATGACAGTTGGTCTGTGATGGGGTGATTCAGCTCAATGGTAAACAGAAGGGCGAATTCTGATCTCGCTTATGCCAACATAAACCTTGGGCTGCAGAGGAGCTGCTTCGCGTCTCTAGGACCAGAGTGGAGCCCATAAAAGCTGTGACTCAGCCAGATAATCTCTGACAACTGTTAGCACTGTGGTAAATATGGCAACGTGGCAGGCTGGAAGAGCGGCTAAAAAAAGTTTCGCTTCCACACTTCCAAAACGAAATGTTTCAGAGGTTTTTTATCTCAAAACGACGTCTAAAATCTTGGGAGCAGTGATAGAAGTGGTTGAAAAATATTGAGATAAAACATGTTGGGTTTTTTTTTTCAGGTTGGATGAAATATTTTGATTGAGGCCAAATTAATGAGGTGGCTGAGCCAATGGGGTGAAAAGTCAGTTATCCCCATAAATTCCAGTCCCTCTGGAGTGGACCTGCTGGACACTTTGCACAGCCATTAATGGTGATGTTGTGGACAGACACTAACTCATGTCTGCATGAGATAGACGAGGAAAGGCTTTTAAAAGGAGGTATTTGCTAAGAGAATGTTTAACATTTGTTTTTGCTTCAAAAACACATTTTCAAAGAGAGGATCCCATCCAAAACATATGTTCCCTCCCTGTGTGGGCAGGCGTGCAAACACTAACATGGGACCCAGCAAACTGCAGAGGAGAGCATGGAAGCCAAAGCTAAAACTCTCCCATCTTGCTGCTGAGGCTTCCTCCTGATGAAGCTGCTGTTCTGTGGTATTTGCACTGAGATAGGGATGGACTGGGCCTGTCCTGTCTTCTGGGTGTCTGAACCCCCTTGTCCCTTCACCCATTGGCACCATCTGGCACCAGGCTGTTTGCCTTTGGTGAATGACAATGTAAAAACTGTGGGGATGTGAACCTGTGCTGTATTGCTTCTGACTAGGATAATAAATTCCCTTTTTTCTTTCCATGGTTTCACTTTGTGATGTATTGGTATTTTAACTTCAGTCCACACAGTGCCTAGTTTCACCAGGAAGCTACTGCATTATCTGCAGAAATACAGATAAGCTATTTCTCATGGAAAATGTTGCATTCTTCACATTTTAGCTGGCTTGGAAGGTAGCTCTGCTACCAAGAGATATGAAGATCTGAAACCCATCATCCTTGGTGGGACAGGCCATGAGGAGGGACTGTCCCATAGAGAGGCCACCATGGCAGCTGCATCCCCTTCCAAGCCTTTAGGAAATTTAGGATCACCCAATGCCATTTTAAGAATTGGGTTAAAGTTTTTTTTTTATGAAGCAGAATTGCTTCCTCCTGTGAGCCCTACTCGAGGTGACAGTGAAAATGGTCTAGGAAATAAAGCTCTGCACCTTATATAGGCAAGCTACCAAAAATATATGGATTGTGGAATTACTCTTTGCTGAGAAGGGAATTCAGATTTTATTCCTCCTATTGTGTTTTATTTCTTGTATCATTACAGAATACACAAGCAGATTATTCCCCAGCCACAAAAACAGTTGCAGCAAGATGCTGCAGTTGAAAAGAACAAAACAGGCAACAGTTCAACATTCTCAGTTAAGATCATTATGATACTATTAATGGATATGAATTTCTGTTTATTTTACAAATATTAGGAAAGTAGTTTTCAAATTCACACCTCACCAAATGCTTTACAACAATGATTTGTTTCATTAATTTTATCAGCTGCATGCCTTGTTTTTTTATAGCAGGTTCTTTGCTGAGAGACATTAATCTGTGATAGAGCATCCTAAGAGCCTGTGCAGAGGATCCAAGCTGATGAATGTTGGTGTACAGGCTGCCCACCACTGTCAGTTTTTCAATTTGCAGTGTAGTTGGGTCACATAATAAATTTCTGAGGGTTTTATTTTTATTTTACAGAAGCCTTGAATTTTTTCTGTGCATATTTTCTCACTGTTTTAACATACATATGAGCCCTCAACATCCAAATGTCAAATTCTGTGTGATATGGGTTAGGTAATAAACTCGATGGTATTATTTTTAGAACACCTATAAAAATAACTAACACAGTTTAAAGTCATGTCTTTGTTAAATATTCAGTGTAGAATTGGCTTTTAGCTGAATTCAGTATCCACTATTTCTCAGTTTCTCACTAATAAATACAAAATGCTAATGGAAAGTGAACAGGAAAATATTCTGCATATGCTAAATTGACCTTATATTCAAAATGGAAAAATGCTTGTGCCACGTGTTTAAGAAAAATAAACACCTGGATGATAAAGAGAGCAGTGAACACATCCTTACTGAAAATATTTCCCTTAAATTCTCAAGTTCTACAAAATGTCATGGCTTCCTCTATTGCGGCAAGAGCAGAGAGTGGCAGCCAACACTGAATTCTATTTCTGACTTTGATCCAGATTAATTCTCCCAGGAGGATGCTCTGGAGCTGAGTGTGGCAGTGTTACCCCAGTGCCCACCACTGGGAGTGTGGGAGGGCAGGTGGCCCAAAGGGAGCAGGGCCGGGTCCCTCCAGTGCCCCCAGCTCCACTCCAGTCATGTCTGGCACACAGATCGTGCAACACTCGTGGGCCAGCAGTTTTACAGCCCTTGGTCAGAGGATTGCACACATCCTCACGCCTCCCAGGTGGTGAGCTCCTCCCCAGAAGGAGCAGAAGGCAGGGCTGGAGGTCTGCACAACCTTCCTGCAGGTAAGGGCCAGCACAGTGAGGGTTTTACAGGCTGAGCCAAATTCCAAACATCTCTTTTTTTTCTCTTCCCTGTCAGTCTGCTGTGAATGCTCCGTGGGATGCTGGATTCCTCTGCTGAAAACTGGAGATGGAGCTAAAACTCAGGTGTTGGGACTGGACCTGCTGAGCCTGGTGTCTGTCAGGCACTGCCAGGGATGGATCAGTGCAGAAATGGCAGTGGGGGAACACTACAACAGCAAATGGCTGCTGCTGCATTGCCTCCCCTCCTCCCCAGTCCCTGGGCCAAATTTCTTTATCCTTCTCAATGTAACTCAAAACCAATGAAGTCAATAGAAAAACCAGTTAACCAGACCCTGACTCAGCCCTTGGCTTGCTTAAACTCCAGTGCTGCAGAGTTAACCCCTGACACATTTTAGTTTGCCTTCATGTCTTTCCCCAGAGTAGACAGAAAATCCTATTTTTCATATTTGTTTCCCTGGACCTTGGCCAGCTGAATAGAGGTCAAATACGTCAAGCTGGGTCTAAACTACAGCAAAAAAATGAGCTGCATTTCAACCTCTTTTTCTAGCAGAGTGACAATATAATTCATGTTTATATTCCTGCCTTCGCCACCGTCCTGCTGTTTGACCTTGGCAAAGTCACTTCATCTTTTTGGACCTTCATTTCTCCTCCAGCTTGTTCCTTTTGTCTTTAGACTTATATGGGGCAAAACCAGACAAATAGACAAATATCTGGGGCAAAATGTGGCTTACATGGTGTATTGGCATTACTACAACAAAGTGCTTCCACTTCCTGGACTTGAGGTCCAGGTAAAAGTTTTGGAAAATAATATCAACATAAATTCCAAGCATGGGATAAACATAAAGCAATGTGCTGTCCCCATTCATGCCAAGGGTTTTCAGCATTCCCACCCAAATTAGCAGGCAGGTCTCTGAAACAGAGCAGCATTGTGCCCACCAGTTCTGCCATGCAGCAGGAAAAGCTGGTTCAGATAAGACCAGGAGATGAGCAAACGTGAAATGCCTTCATTTGAGTGAAACTCTCATTTTAATTGAGCTGTTTGGCTGTCTTCAGATCTAATTTCATGATCCAAACACCCCACTTTCCCCATAAGAATGTGTTCAAACATTGCTTGACTGCTATCCTCCTTTGCTGCAGAGCTGGGAAGTCATCACAACTGATGAGGACTCATTACAAAGTTGACAGTTTGCCCCTTTTCTTAAAAAAAAAAACAATTCTGCAGAGCTTCATTCCTTTCAGCCCACACCGACTCTCATCCAAAGCCTTCCCTGCTGCTCAAAAGAAACCTGAAATTTCCCAACCGCAGGATTAAACTCATCCTCGCCCCCTCCAAACAAACAAACAAATAACAAAGGAGGGGAGAAATTATCTCTACAGTAGGGAGATGAAGGTA